TTTGCAAGCCATGGTAACGTTTCTCAGTTACCACTCAGGCAAGTCATACAAACGTTATTCAGTTACCATTTATGGATCTCATGGAAATATTATTCAGTTACAACTCAGACGAGTCATACAAACGTTATTCAGTTACAACTCAGACGAGTCATACAAACGTTATTCAGTTACCATTTATGGATCTCATGGAAATATTATTCAGTTACAACTCAGACGAGTCATACAAACGTTATTCAGTTACAACTCAGACGAGTTATGGAAATGTTATTCAGTTACAACTCAGACGAGTCATACAAATGTTATTCAGTTACAACTCAGTCGAGTCATGGAAATGTTATTCAGTTACAACTCAGACGAGTCATACAAATGTTATTCAGTTACAACTCAGACGAGTCATACAAACGTTATTCAGTTACAACTCAGGCGAGTCATACAAACGTTATTCAATTACAACTCAGACGAGTTATGGAAATGTTATTCAGTTACTACGACGAGTCATACAAACGTTATTCAGTTACAACTCACAGTTCCATGACTCGTCTGAGTTGTAACTGAATGACGTTTGTATGACTCGCCTGAGTTGTAACTGAATAACGTTTGTATGACTCGTCGTAGTAACTGAATAACATTTCCATAACTCGTCTGAGTTGTAATTGAATAACGTTTGTATGACTCGCCTTTGCAAGCCATGGTAACGTTTCTCAGTTACAACTCAGGCAAGTCATGGAACTGTTATTCAGTATGCACATTTACTTTAAATGTGATCTTGGAATACAACGCAAATTTCTCTGGTTATTAACGATAGTCGACCTCTAATATAAACCAAATTTTCCTGGTATTTAGGGCCGCATGATCTTAGAATATAAAGCTTATTTCCCTGGCATTTATGAAAGCACGAACCTTCGAATATAAACCAAATTTTCCTGGTATTTAGGGCCGCATGATCTTAGAATATAAAGCTTATTTCCCTGGCATTTATGAGTGTCTGATCCTTGATTTCCTTTCTGTGTTAAGAGCTTCGAGTACACCCTAACCCTAAAGCTGTAAATGTTTATTATTCAAATTTCACATACTTCACTTACCTGTTTTACCCACTCTCGGACGTCTTCGACAGTCCACAGGGGGACTTGCTGGGACAGCTTGTGGGGAACCTCTTCTCCAATCAGTTGCAAAGCTTGAGCAGCATATTTCGAAGCGATGGCATTGGGGGAACTGGCGACCTTTTTCAGTGCCTCAATAGCCCCGATTTCACGAAATATCTGGTAGCATAACGGTAGCAAAAACCAAATAAAAACAGATTAATCCTGAGTGACTGACATCAAGGAACACTGTTTAATGATGTATTCTAAAACACGGGTTTTATTTATACGATCGAGATCATTTCATCGAAACGAACTTTGACCTTCTATACGTGACTTTGTTAAGATGAGTCACTCTATCTGCGGTACCGACAATATCTCACAGTAACCTTATCACTCAAATTTCATCGCATTCACCATACTAACTTACCTATTCCAAATAATCACCAAGGTAAGTACGTTCTTGTGATGTGCATTGCTATGTATTCTTGACATTGGCTAATTTTTAAAATTAGGAGTTTCAGTGGTACAAAAGTTATGGACGTGTATCGGACATGTACATTGGACGTTTCTTGAGAATTAATCAAACGCGACCCCACCTTTTTTTAAAAATCACAATTAGCAGTGTAAGCCCTTTTTTAAATCAGCTGGATTTTACTCTTTGTAATATCTTGCCAATTATAACAACCTAGACAGGTGGAGGGGGTTCTAGGGAGGTTACAGCCTCCCAAAACTTTTAAAGATAATGTTTACAGAACTGTTTATTTTACAGTCGTGAGTTAAACATATTAAAGCCCAAATATAAGCCATAAATAAATAATGTAAACCATTTTATTGAGGTCCCCAAATCGCCCTTTTTACCCCCCCCAAAAAAAAACAATTTAAAGTCTAGAAACTACCCCTGACCTAAGCTAACTGAAAATGCTGTAAATTTTCCAAGTCTTGAGGAGTTGAACAATTGAGATTGAGGAACTTAAAAACAATCCACGAAATCCAAGTTTTACAAGAATCTTAGAAGTGACGAATTGTTTGAAGCTTGTAATATTCGGACTTCGATAGCTTAACTTATTAGAACATCTGCTAAGACTTGAATGCCACTCAATCTCAGATACCCATAAAAAATAAATAAACTATCGTTTTAAAAATAAAAAAAAGTCTTATTTTTTTTTGGTATTACCGCTGTGTTTCCTTGTCGTTTTTTAATCCCAGCTTCCATGGCGAAGTGGAAGGCTGCCAGACTTCTAGCTTCCTCTCTCTTGCTGTCCAGGACAGGAACCAGCCGGAGGAGCCAGTTTTTGGACTGCCCGTGGACATGAGACACTGTGCTGTTTGCAAACTCTTCGGGATTATGACTGGACACAAAAGGTTCAACAAGATCCAGTGTTCCGGATCGTAACACTGCGGCTTCGATTTCTTTGTTGGCCACCAAAGCGGCAATAGCCAAACAGGCATAGTACTTGATATTGTCATCATTGTTGAATGCCAAGGGGAACAACCAGACGGGGACTTTATGTTTGATCATAGCTTCCTGGTTCTCGGATCCACCATATAAAGATAAGTTCGCTAATGCAGTGGCACAGTGACGGAGAGTTTCGACATCCGTATTTCTACAGTCGTACAAGATGGCTTTCAAGCCCCCCATCCTTATGACGTCACTACACGTGGTCTCGGAGTGCTTAAAGAGGTGTTCGAGGATTCCCGTTCCGATGCGGGAATGAACAACCGAGTTTCTAATGCTGCAGGAGTAAGCCACGGAGACGACGCTGTCCAGACCGTTCTCCACCACGTATCCTCGGTTCTCGGTGGACAGGCACTGTTCCAGAAGACGAGCACTAGCGAACTGGAGTTCGTCGTTACTACAAGAACAGTTGCTAATCAGGATATCCATGCCGCCGTTATTCCTGAGGATATTGCACAAGTTAAACCCAAGATCGTAGCCGTTTGTTGGAACAGCCCAGGCTTTACGAATCATATCGTTCATCTTGGTTAAGAGCTGCAAGGCTTCTTCGTCCGAAGCAGTTTTCAATCTTTCAACGCAGGTGCTCATGCGCGAGCCAAACCTGGCCATCGCCTTCTCAATTTCCGAAGACGGTGCTGGCGAGTTAAGAATCTCGATATCCTTTTCAAGACCCTGGGTGAGAGCAAGATTTGAGGAAGAGTCATTTACCTGAAACGGTCCTCCTTCGTCGGGGAACGTGACGATGGGGCTCATATTAACAGAAGATGTTATCCCCCCAAACTCTATTTGCTGCTTGTTTTGACTAATAGCAGTTGAAGACTTCATGTTTTTACTAGTAAAAGTTAGCTTGGACGTAGATGATACGTTTCTTTGTTGCTGGATGGAAGCTTGAGAGATGACTTGACATTCTTCCTGCTTTGCCATGGCAATCTTTTCTGCGGTAAACTCGTCAGTTTTAAGCTTTACTGCAGAGGACATCGCGGTTCTTTCTTGTTGCTGGACTGTATCTTCAGTTTTCAGATGTCTCTGTTCCTGTCGCATAGCTGTTGCCTTTTCGGCAGAAAATCCTTCGGCTTCTATGTGAGCTTTAACAGCAGAGGAAGCGAGTTTTTCTTCGTAGTTCATATCTCCGGTTTGAAGTCTTTTCAATTCTTTGTTATTGGATGCAGACTTCTCAGATTTGAAACCATCTGTCAGTAACTTCAACTTGGACGAAGAAGTCACCCTCTTCTGTTCGAACCTCATTTCTTGAGGAGAAGCTTCCTTGGCCTCTCCCTCCTCCAACAAAGTACCTTCCACTGAAAGACCCCTCTGAGCGGTCATGGTTTTCTTCCTGGACTCACTGGTGCTGCTTGCACTGCTGGCACTACTGGTCACGCTGACGCTGCGATTGAAGTTACGACTGCCAAGATACGATTCGTTCTGTTGTTTCTGCTGCTGTTTCACTTCTTGGCTAACCAGCGAGTGAAGAAGTTGCGATTTCTTACTCATCACAGAACTGGACGTTGAAGATGAGGCCGTGGTGCTGCTACTCTTCAACATCTGGGCGGAGGAAGAATTCGTACAAAGCTTCTCTTTGCTTGAATAGGCTGAACTGGAACTCAGTTTTTCTGTGCTGCTGGTAAAAGATGCCGTTGTGGTCATCGACGACGAACTGTTCATCCTGTTCAATACTGTGGAAGCCTTGTTGAAGTTATCGACTAAAGAGGACACGTCTCCATTCGCAGACATTGTTTTTTCTTCACCACTTTCCGCCGGGAAGTCAGACATCTGTAAAAATACAAATTATAGTTGTCATTAAAGGAGCACAGTGAAGAGTTTATACATTCACCACTAACAACGGAGATTTCCAGACATACAAATGTGTAGATTAGAAATAGCTACAACTCAAGTCCACGGGATCTTAACAACAAAAACAACCAGTACAGACAACTGACAAACCACAAGGAATCGCGCATGCGTAGAAAACTGTATTACAAAGAAGAAAAAAAAATCAGTTGGTCAAACAGATGTTTACTTTCAGTCATCTACAGGTGGGTCAGTGGTAAGTTTATGGAATTATAATGCTAAAATTGGGAGTTCGATTCCCCGCGGAGGACAGAGAGCAGGTGTTCGCCCATTGTGTATACGCTAAAAGTACAACAACAACTACTGTCTGTCAGCATATTTGAAATAACATCTACGTTAAAATAGCAAGAGATTGATCAAGCTACTTGTTAGCAAAAACGACCGAAAATGTCGACTTTTCTTCTGTACGCCGAGTGCTAGTACTACGGGGGATCTGGGGGCACGCTACTATTTCAAATAAAAAAAATGCTAACGCCTCATCAGAAGAATGTAGAAAACATTAAATACCACAAGTGGCTGCGCTGTAACTATACAAGCTTTTTTTTTTTAAATCGCAAAAATAGGGGGGTTCTGCGTGTGTGTGCGATTACATCAAATGTTTGACAAACGAGGAACTTGTGAAGGCATACGACATTTACATAAGCACATAAAAACGGTCTGGGTGTTCGTATTCTGCTGGTGTAAATAAAATCGCATATATCAGAGAAATAAGACAACGTTTATTTCTATTTATGCACAAAGCTATAATGGGCTATCTGCCTACCGCAGGGAATAAGCCCCACATTTTAGCGTTATAAACCCTCAAGCATATTGCTGAGTCAATGAGGGCAGCATAATAGCATTCATCAAACCAAATACTAACTCATTCGATTTTTTCGCGCCCCCCCCCCAGTGGGTCAGCGATAAATTTACGAACTTCGCTTAACTCCGGGGTTCGATCCCCGCGATAGGCGAAGTGCAGACATCCCATTGTGCAGCTTTGCACTAAGAAAACAATAATAAGGATATTCAACATCACCTCACACAGATAGTATGTACACAACCCTAAAATTACAATCGCTTGATGTTTATGTTTCAATCCGACTTAAATTACTCAAATTATCGACAAGGAGTGATACCAGTCGGCCTTTAAAACTATGTACGCACCAAACTGGTCACATGGTCATAAATAAGAAACGACTCGCACACACAAAATTTAACAAAATTCCACCAGTAATTGCTGCTGGGGGTCCTTATATCCCTAAATTATGTCCCACAATGTCCCTAAAGACGAGGACAACAATTACACATTTTCCCGACTAATATCCCTATACTTGGTTGTTGATAGATTGTTTGAATACTGGCCGTCAGTCAGTTTGTGGGCAGCTGGACAACACCACCACCACCAATTCCTGTCATTAAGTAGTTTGATATGACGGTCACTCTTTTTTTCGCCTGGCCCGGCATGGCCAGGTGGTTAGAGCGCTCGACTCGTAATCTGAGGATCGCGGGTTCGAATCCCCGTCACAACAAACATGTTCGCCTTTTCAGCCGTGGGGGCGTTATATTGTGACGGTCAATCCCACTATTCGTTGGTAAAAGAGTAGTCCAAGAATTGTCAGTGGGTGGTGATGAGTAGCTGCCTTCCCTCTCGTCTTACACTGCTAAATTAGGGACGGCTAGCGCAGATAGCCCTCGTGTATCTTTGCGCGAAATTCATAACAAACAAACCTTTTTTCGCCCTCACAGCCCCAACCATGAACTCCGAGCACACTAACCATTGGGCCACGCCCGGCAAAGCGATGATTCAATTCTTACTACGATTCGCCCTTATTTCTCGTGATAATGTCTCCAAAGTAATCACCAGAAATTAACGCTGTTTGGACTCAATTACATAATATACTAAATAACCTTAACGCGAATAAAAATTTGATTCTAGAAAGTTATGTTTGATAATTACGTCACGGTTATATGGCGATAATAACAAAATCTACAAGTATGTTTAATCCAGAAATACGTCACTAAAATCGGTACAAGTCTGAGAAAGTAACAATAGAATAGAAGCAGAGTCTCGTTTCGAACTGAATTTGAAAAGGAAATTTCGAGAAACTGACTATATCCACACACTTTTTTTTTTTTTTACTAAATGAGCATTAATTTCCAGAAGCCTGGTGTAGGCGTTAAACAGTTATATTTTGTGCATATCGTAAATGAGCCGATCA